GTCCCACCCCAAGACTTGATAGCCAAAGAATGCGCATTCATATCGTGGCCAAATAGAAGTAATGCATGCGGGGTAGGTGGTAAAAATGAAAATATGATTGAAGAATGTTGGAGCCTCTACCATCACTATTCATAGCTCTAGAGTACAGCATGCATGCCACAGCAAGTTGGACTGCCTGAGTAATCTGTAACATACCAAGTCAATGGACACAACTGTAGCAAATAGATTTTAAGTGTGGAAAATCTGAGACCATCCACTTTGGATCTAAAAGTGGCATTTTCTCGATGGGGACAAGTTAGAAACAGTAGAGTTTCAAGGAGAGTTGGGGGACGGGTTCCAGGTACGTGATCAAGTGTCATAAACTGATCCAAAAGACTAATAAATACTGTATTTTATATAGTTGGGTTAGAAGTCAAACTTCCATTATACAAAGACTGGAGTACTGTGAGTAGTTGCGGGCACCTCATTTTATGAAGGGTGCATTTGTTTTGGAGAGAGTTCAGCATAGATTTATGAGAATGACACTAGGCCTCCAAGGATAAATTTATTACAAGGAAATATTAGACAAATCAAGGTTGTATTTCCTAGAATTTAAAAGGTGAAAAGGTGATTTGACCTAAGCTTTCAAGATATTGAGGGAAACAAATAAGTTTGATAAAGAGAACTATTGTTATGATCCTTGTAGGAACCCATAATATTTTTCAAAAGAGATCTGAATTCTCAGCAACTGACTTAAATTACCAGGAGACAGGGTTTAATGTTTTAACATATTCACCAATGCCATTGCACTTGTGCTGTCCTTCTAGTACCAGGTCTTTATAGCCGCAGTCAGTATTAAAAGCAGGATGAGTTGCAGCACTTCACAACGTTTAATTTGACGGTATCTCCTTCCCCTGTGACCTAAAGAAAGAAGCAAGACATCATGGGATACCACCACCTTTTGTCCAATTCATAGACAATTGCATTGTGGACATGAATTGCCAGATCTTTATGGTCAGAAGGCCATTGTCTTATCATTGACTAACTAACACCACCAACACCAGGACTGAGAAGGTGGTGGCAACGATCCAGAAGTACCTGATGAAGGTAACTTTGGCTACTCAATAAATTCGATTGTCACAGCCTATGTCCAGAGAAGTAATTGAATTAAAACATATTAGACTACGTGAGTACATGTGTGTGAATAAAAGGAATGCTCCCTGGGAGAGAGCATGGACTACATATTGAGCAAACAGCATTACTGCTTGTGTGTCTTTTGGTAGCTTTATAACCACTTTCTTACCCTGCTTTTGGTTCAGCTACAGAGGGAATCTATACGCATACCAGAATTGACAGAAAGTTGTTCAGTCTTTCCTGCCTGAGAATCAAGACAAAGTGCAGCAAGTCTTCACTGGAGGGTTGTTGTATGCTGATGATATCATATTAGCAGTCCATACTGAGAAACAGCTTCAGCAGAAAATGAACAGACTCTCTCAAGTCCGGAAGATGATCAGTCTAACAAAAGCGAATATCATAGTCCTGGACATTGCCATAATGCCATTAGTCAGCATTGATAATGTGATACAAAAACAGAAATTGCTGGAAAAACTCAGGTGGTCTGGTAGCATCTATGCAGAGAAATCAGAGTTAACATTTCAGGTCGAGTTACCCTTCCTTGGAACTGATAATGTGATGCTGGAGGTTGGTGATATGTTCACATAGCTAGGTTTCACAATCACCATAAATCATTTGCTGCTGAAATCAACATGTGCCTCACAAAGGGAGCAGGTGTTATATCCAACTAAGTAAAAGTGCGTGGAACTACAGCAAACTGAACGCTAACACCTAACCATGAGTTGCTTGAGGTGTCTGTGCATTCAGCTACAAGCTGAATATGTTTATTTAAACTTTCCCTATTCTCACTAACAAACCACTCCTTAATGATAAACTAAAACAGAAATTTGATGGAAAATCTCAGCAGTTTTAGCAGGATCTGTGAAGAGAAATCAAAGTTAACATTTCGGCTCCAGTAACCGTTCTTCAGAACTGGATCAGATCAGCACTTAAGGGAAGAAAAGAAAATGCTGTTAGACACTCTGAGGCTCTGCTGAAAGTCCAGTAGCTTTGACATTAGTGACTGGGAGGAGCTTGCTATCAGTTGCTTAAAGTGGCAACGTATCAAGCTGCAACATGTTTTGAATTACAATGTCTTCATGATGAGCCTGAACTGCAGCAGAGAAAGAAAGGAAGTAAATCTTGTACTCTGAATCCCATTACTTCTTGGGACATCCTGGCCCATGTGAGTAAAGAACAGAAAAACGTGAAAGCCTATGGCAGAAACTGCTGACCCTGAGAATGTGTCATTCTTAAATCAAGTGTCAATCACCACTGCCATGTTGCATCCTGACAACATTTAATTCATTTGTCAAACAAGATTTCCTTTTCCTAAAGTCACTTTAATTTGATGTGGATATATTATGCTTATCCAAATGCATTGTTAAATTTTCCTTACTATCGGATCACAACACTTCCCCTACAAATGATGTCAGGCTACTGCCCTGTAATTCTGTTTTCTCTCTCCCTCCTTTCTTGAAAAGTGATGTTACATTTGATGACTTCCAATCTGTTGGTATTGTTCTAGAGTCTAGGAATTGTGGAAAGTAATAGCCAACACATTTGTTTTCACTGCACCTAACTCTTAGAAACCTGAATGTAGGCCATAAAGTCCTGAGGATTTTTTTACATCTTTATCCCTCAAGTTTCTCCAGTATTTTCTCTCCATGTTATTAGTGACCTTAATTTCTTCAATCTTAGTAGCTGCCTCTGTTTCTGGTGTGCAATTGTGTCTTCTACTTTGAAGGCAAACACAAAATATTTGCTTAATATCGCTGCTATCTGTCATTCCCAATAATACTTCTGTTTCTGCTTTTAAGGGACTGATACTTCAGCTACACTCATTTTATATGCTTCAAAAGGCTTTTAAAATCTGCTTCATATTCCTGGCTATTTATATTTGTTCTATTCCCCTACCCCCTGCCTCTTTTGTATTGTTTTTGGTGGTCTTTTGCTGGTTACTAAAATAT